ATAGTGCATTCCCAATTATATCTATTCAGCAGTAAGCATTTCTACATTTAATAGGGTTTGTTGCTCAACAAATGTGGTTAGGACATAGCTGTATTTTTGCTTGTTTGTTTGTTTTTAAAAAACCACAATTCTGCTTTTACTCCAGTGCATAAAGTGTTCTTCTCTTTCTCCAGATGAACCTGCCCCATCAGTAAAAGGAATAAATTGGATTTCTATAACTGCAAAAAAAAAAAAAAAAACCACAATATTGTCCTTTGATATTTTAAAAGCTAATAAGTTCTTTAAAAAGTTATGTCACATTAAACTAGCAAATCTTTTAAGGTGTCACAGGAACTTTGTTATTTATGTTCTAGAAGCTCATCTTTCATGGATAATATTTTTATTAAGTGAACAGTAGAACGTTTGAAAGTGCATGATATAAAAAGACTTCCCAGACTGATCTTCTGTGTTTGAATTTGTAGAATGAGTTTTGTTTTATATTTTGCAGAAATAATACATACCACAAAATTGATGATCATGAAAATACAGAAGAAAGAAAAACAGGTTGGTAAATTTCACTTTTTGCAAAAATTGATATGTGTAACATTCCTTGGTATATTATGGTTCAGTAGTTAGTTCCATAATTTCTACTTGCATAGGAGAGAAAAAGAAATACAGGTAGTCCTTGAATTATGACTATTCACTTAATGATATTTCTAGTAATTATGATCTTGGAAAAAACGACGACCTATACTCATACATATGACCATCACACCATCCCCATGGTCACTTGATTGCCGTTTGGGTGCTTAGTATCCAGCTTACATTTTTAGTTGGTTGTATCATCCTGTAGGCCCATGATCACGATTTAAAACCTTTTTTGCCAATTTCCAGCAAAAAAAATGTCCATTAGGGAAGTTACATTCACTTAATGAACATGTGATTTACTTAAAGACCATAGTCAAAGTTGTCGTAAAATTAGGTGTGACATGATATCAATGATTTAACGATGGAACTTCCATAAATAAGTTGTACCTGTACCTCTCTATTTGTTTGAATAAAAAAAAATCAAGAGGGTGGCTTGATGGTGTGATTCTTGCTCTTGGAAACTGTAATATGTCTAATTGAACCTGAGTTTCTTGTGAATAGAAATTATATGATTATTTTTCCTAAGATAGAATTTGAGGAGTTTGGAATGTGCCTTTTAGCTTCAGAGAAGCATTGAGTCAACCCATGATTTGCTGCTACTAATCTTCAAAGCTCAATGTAGGATGCAGGAGGACTGCATTCCTTGTTAAATAGGATGGACATACATGTACCTTCCTTCCCAAATGCATGATGTGGGTATGTTTATTTGTCAATTAGCAGGATACTACTGAATGCTATGGGGAAAAATTCCCTTGAATCTCCTTTCTCAGTGATGTTGCTTTCATTCTTTGGCAGCCAACCATTGAGTTTGTTTCCAAGATAAAGGCAGCAGTGACTGTAAGAAATAGAAGGGGAAGAGGAAGTTAAATGTTCCATGAAGGCCACAGATTAACCCCCTATGTTCTTTCTCTACAGTTTGTTTAATAAATTGCCAAGCAATCCAAATAATAGCAGAGAAACTGCTTTATGTCATGTAGCAGATTGTAGCAAATGTATTTTGAAGGAGAATCTGTATTGCTGCCCTTTGTGAGTGTTTCCTTTTATGCATTAGAGCAGTTGTAGTAAGATTTATGTTTTACCTTGGAAGTCTATTTTTCCTGTAAAATACTGAAGCCTTGGATAGATCTGTATTTATATCACCTCCTTTTCTTTGGTAATAATTTCTAGTGAAGTGACTTGGAGCATACATTGATGAGCTGTGAAATATATCTTCTCCAAACTGCATTATTCTGGAAGGAGAGAGGAAGCATGTTAAAAATGTTACCACAGATGGAAAATATTTGTGCTTTACCATGTGCAATAGTCTATTACTTTCCAGTCCTTTGTCTTTTCATGTCCCTATTTAACTTTGTAAAACGTCCTTTGGGTACCTTTTTCATCAGAGGTTTAGATGAAAGGGCCTAGAGATATAGCTTACCTTGTCATACAAATGTGTAGATTTATGACTTTTAATAATTTTTAACTTAGTGTTTTTATTTACTCTGTTTTTATGTATTGAGAGTTAGCATGATAGAGCTACAATGATGGCATATTAGGTTAGAAAACAACATTGGGCCCTCTGGTTTGATTCTGAACAATCAAAATAGATTTGATGCCCTGTTAACTCTGTTCGGAATATAGATTGGTGCTTACAGTGTTTAGTACACTTGAGAAGGATATCAAAAAGTGGCAAGTAAATATATTTATTTGTCTGTTATCAATGTCTGTCCTAGCAAGGGCTAGTTTTAAATATTTGTTGTTTTCTTTCTTTCACCTTTTTCTAGAAGTGGATGAAAGAAGGGATGGCTTAAAGAAACTTAGCGAAAGAAGTCCCTAGATAGAATGAGCATATTCATTTAAAAACATTGAATTAGCTCTCTTGGACTACATTATAAATCTCAAATAAATAAATAAATAAATAATAAATAAATAAATAAATTCCTTATATGGTTAAAATCTCAAGACTTGTTTCCCCAGAAATATAGAAATAGAAGCTGATGACTATAGACATCCTGATACGTTTACATCTATTTTGGATTTTTTATTCTAATTTGCAAACGTGACAACGACATTCATATTCATGTTGTGTTGCTACACTGCCCAATATTTAGATACGGCAGGAGACATTTTTCTGAAACAGCAGTGGAAGCAAATATAAGACAATAAGGTTGACTTGAACAGCTTATGTTAGCATTGAAGATGCAAACTGCTTTTTAAATCAAGAAGAGCTTCTTACTTTAAAACTTAAGTAAATAAAATAAAAAACAAAGCTCTACCTGCGGATTGGTTGTTTTCTTCATATGCATTTTCTTCTTTTTCCAAGTTAGCTATACAAATTGCTGTTGGTAAAAGACATGTAGAAAAAAAAGCTGAATGATAACTCAGCATCCTTTCTCCCTTGATATGTGCAGTGTTAAACCTACAAGTTAAATATCTGTTGGGATTGCATGGTGCTCCATGGCCTGTGGTAAGCCAGTCATATTTCTGTTATGAATGGTGGATTAATTACATTTTAGTGACCTCTTTTGAAGTGCTTTTCAAAACTGCCTAAGGAGCTCTATCTACTTTGCAAATACACAGGCAAATGGTTAAAGAAGTAGGTCACATTTTTGAAGTCTACTTATCTTGACAGTTTGCCTTTAAAGTGCAGTACTCGAACAGTGTTTACACAGTTTTTGATGGGAAGCACAGATCTTTGGTCCTACTATGGATGCTTTTGAATTCCTGATAACATCCTCTACAAACTGAACTGTTGTATATATTTTGCATCAGTAATGGCACATAGGTTTTTTGCCTAAACAGAACATTGTTTCAGAATATTCTAAGCTGACAGTCCTCTTATTAACATGTTAATTTGAAATAATAGCTTCTTCAACAAATATAATATTAAGTATATGAAGACCTGTTCTTGTAGTCAAGTTGGAATATTTATAATCAATATCAAAGTCCCCATAAGAAAGAGAAAGGAGAAGGAGAAAAAAGAAAAAAATACTAGTTAATCATTAATAATGTTAGCTTATCATATTCTAACTAAGTGCTCTGGACTAATTAGTCTCTCTCAGCCCCATCCATCTCACAGGGTTGCTGTTGTGGGGAAAGTAGGAGGAGGAAGGAGTATTATGTATGTTCACCACCTTGAATTACCTATGAAGAAATAAAGGCGGAATACAAAAAATCCAATCAATCAATAAAAATCCCATAGATAAATTGCATACTGCATTTGAAGAGACATTTGGATGTTATTGAAATCGGAAAGCACTAATAATTTTAGTGGCTTCTAACTACATTAGGTAGTACGTTAGTACATGCTAGGAAGAATAGTGGTTCAGCATTTATAATTCTACTCCTGGCATCTTTATTTTTTCCTTCCTGAAGGAAGTCTGAAATACTTTGGAATGTGAGTCAGTTTTATAGAATCTGATTGTTAACAAATCTCTGTAGTGATATAAATGTGAGCAGATTTGCCACAATTGGGTGTTTTTTTGTTTGTTTATACAAACAAATTTACAAAAAAATTCACATGCTGCTTACGTAGAAAAGCATTTATACAATATAAGAGCCATGATGGCGCAGTGGTTAGAATGCAGTACTGCAGGCTACTTTTGCTGACTGCTGGCTGACTGAAATTTGATAGATCTAATCTCACCAGGCTCAAGGTTGACTCAGCCTTTCATCCTTCTGAAGTCGGTAAAATGAGGACCCAGATTATTAAGGGCAATATGCTGACTCTGTAAATTGCTTAGAGAGGGCTGTAAAAGCACTGTGAAGCGGTATATAAGTCCAAGTGTTATTGCTATTGCTACTTGGGGATTATCTATGCAGATTTGCAAGGTAGTTTAAAAAAATTAAAATTAGAATAAAACTAAGTGATATTGCTATTGCTATATCTAGAACAGAAAATGAACAAGCATAGAAGCAGTAAAACAGAGAAAGAACTGCAGTAGTATATAAAACAAAACTTTTAATTACACATTTTATTAACTTGTAATCATTTTTATATTCATAAGATCTTAAGGAAAATATTTAAAGGACTATAATTTTTAGATATGGCATAACCTTATTATTAAACTTTTATGATGCTCAACTCTGTCATGACTAAACAGCAAGCAGTATGAGACTGAGCTGTACAAAAGCAATTTATGCATGCAATCATGGATTGATTGATTATATGCCTTCAAGTCATTTTCGACTCTTAATGTCCACATAGATTTTTCTCTATGATGAACAATTGTGTATACTGCTATAGAAATAGATTTAACTAAATAAAATTTATTTCTCAATAGCATTGTGCTGTTTTAAATTAATTCAGCCATTAATTTGTCTTTTAGATTACTGATGACCATATACAATCATGTAAAATTAACCAAAAATAGCTTTTCCTAAATCAAGGAGAATTAATAATGCAACAGGAACTCAATAATTGTGACTTGGTAAGAATTATACAAATACATATTCATAAGGTAACCTATAAGCACAGAAGTAACTTTTATTATGAACATGTGCAGGAATATTCTTACTCTGACTTTTAATAGAAATAAAGTGAGCAGTCTTATAATATGTTAGATTATTTGTTTATTGGATCCACTAATGCAGTAACTGAGTGGAAATAGCTTTCAAAGTTACAAATAAGAATTCAGATAATATTTCTTGTAGGTATACAGGAATATAAACAATGTTCTGCTGCATTGGACTCCTAGTCCATTAAATTCAGCATTATGTTCTGACAGACGCCAACCAATAGTACAAGGAAGCCCACTAGTCTCCAGTAAGTAGCCTTCAGTCACACTGCCATCAAGGCCTATAGCGGTCATTTTCATAAGAGCACACGAGCTCTACAACGATGTCAAGATAGTTCCTCATTGAGGATTATTGTTTTTGTGGTTTGTGGCAAAATGAGCAAAATGTTTAGACTAGATTTGAAATTTTTATTCATCTAT